CACTTATGAACCAGAAAAGATCCGCAGGAAGAGCAGCGCCAAAGATGGAGGGGGGCACCTGCTGCAGATCCCAAAGTGGCGGTACAAGGAGCTAAAAGAAGAAAGGAGGAAAGCCGAGGAGGCGGAGAGGCGAAGGCTAGAGGCCATAACCAAGAGACACCTTGCTGCTGGGAAAAGGAAATAATATCATTGCCTCAGAGAGTCATGTACACTACCCCACAAAGAGACAACATCTGGACAGAACATTAAGTTGGACAGAGTTTTGGCTTTAATGTTTTTCTACAATATACTGTATTTGCTCAGGGTGAGCCTAGAATTTACCAGCAGTGTTTCTAAAAGAGAACGGAAGACTAAAAGTTGCTTTTGTCTGTTCAGTTTTGCAAGGGGGATGCTGGATAGCTTCTTAAAAAGGGCTGCCAGAGCTTTGGCAGAAGTGCATGATGCTCAGTGACCTTTATGATTTCAAACAGTGAAAACCCAGGGGATCTGATACTTGAAATGTTTTTAGCTAACTTATTTTTTCATATTTATTGCTTTTTGATGGATGGCCAAGTCTATATTTTGTTACGCTTTGGGTGCTCAATACAGCCGTGTTTTTGTAGCGTGTTGCACTGTATTGGAGCAGATCTTTTCAGACTGTAACCACAACAGAAATGTGTTCATCGTCCTGCCTGAAAATGGAAGCAATTTATTAAAGATGTCATGGAATAATGTCTTTAAAATGTTCAGCGGAGAATGCTAATGGGCGTGTCAGATTGACTGAGAAAGCTAAACACAAGCTTATATAGAATCTAATGATATTTGACGGCAATGTGTTTAGATGCTTTTTGTTGCGCTTTATGATGACGAACCCATGAATGTATAAATGTATGCATTTATATTTTGTATTAGAGATTTGAATGCTTTTTGATGACAAACCTTTAATTTTTTATTCAATATGGACTTTTTCACGTACTGATACATAAACAACTATGTTTTCTAGTCTTAACGTTCGAGAGCAAGACTGAAATGTAGAGCACTGTCGAGATGCAACACTTAAATCTTACCATGTGAGAGGATAGTTCCAACTCTTTTCCATATGTTTACATTGCAAAACCACATTTACACTGGTTATAATAGCGATAAACTGACATGCATCGAATGAGACTGTGGTGTTTGGTGTATACAGGGTACGGAAGATGTGGACAAAATAAACACTTCTGCTAACGGTGACTGTGGATGTGATTGTGACGGAGCCAAATATTGATGCCTTGCTGCTCTATTTTCATTTCAAACGCCTCAGCCATGTTGTGTTGGAAAGTTAATGAGAAAATGATGGGATTTTCATAAATCATCTTAGCATTGGGGGCATGTGTTTCATCCTGTAACAATGGCAGAAAAAAAAGAACTCAGTAGTAATATGAGTTTGAGAAACCTCGGTCAACGTGACAGTACAAGCAGAATTGGAGTGATAATCCCTAACATATGGACCCCTCTGATAAAAACAGACAACCCATTATGGAACAAGAGGTCAGCTCCCTGTTTTAACATTAAAACAGTGAAAATAATGGGGCAAAAAATAGCCGGCAGTTTAAACACACAGAGCCACAGGGAGAGCAGTGATATAACATTGTCGGGATTTTTGAAAGCACAATTTCACGGTCCTAACTCCTCGTGGCGATTGCAGTTTAAGTGCCATCCAAGAGTGTGTGTCTAATATACATGGTGATGAGTTGCTAAGGGGTTACAAGGCTACTGCACAGCCAAATCATTTCTTCAAATAAACTTCATTGACTTCAGAGTGGCAATCTGCTTCGATACTGCACATTTACTGAAGTCTGCACTTGGCAAACTAAGTGGCTGCAGGATTAACATATTTAACATTAACATAAGGAAATGTGCCATATGAAAACGGCTTTTTGATGGCAATGCGGTCTCATGGACAACAATGCTACTGCGTGCAGTTTGTCACGAGGCATCCTAGGTTGGCTGACCGTGTTAATTTGCAATGGACTTCTCTGTCTTAGTCAGTTTGGAGCATTTTCTTGTAGTAGTTCCTGAAACTTAAATTTACTTAACTTTAAATGTTTCTTTGGAATAAAGTAGTTGAGATACCTTAGGATACATCACATGCTTACATTTATGATTATTGTTGCATTCTGATCCAATATTTGTGCATAATGTGTCTGCGTTTTGTTCATCTATTCAAGTTCACTCGTACAGTGTGTGGAGGAAAGAACTGTATGAGTTATTGTGTGTGGGGGACAGAGACAAAACCTATTAGCTCTGAATGCAATATTTAGGTCATCGTAGCTCAAACAGCTGTTGGCTTAGATTGTAACCTGAGATTATGAGGCGCTGCAGGCTTGGTCAGCGATTCCCCCTCTACGCCCTCCTCCTCCCCCACCCCAACCCAAATCCCTCACAGAAATTCAGAAGTGGCCAAATAAACAGGGTGCCATCCACTGATACTATGACAGCTATTATGTCATGCTTTGATGCTACAGGCTGGGATTTAGACAGGATGACCTGATTCTAGATCAACACTCAATGAGCGCTTCTGTCAAACCTGTGAACTTGGGGTGACTCCATAGTTGGGGCCCTCTGCTGGTTGGTTTTGGTACCCCACTTGAAGATCTCTGCACGCTAGATGGCATTGTGCATGTTTATTAATATGATGATAATCCTCAACTAGACACATAACAGATAAAATATTTTGAGTGAGTAATTTTGAGGGATTTATATATTACTGAATAATCACAACAATAATATCATAACTGCTGATACCCCTTAATAACTAAGGATGGCAAGATTTAAATTAATAATCACTAATAATGAATAATCTGTAAGAACAAGTATTGCATTATTGTTACGTCTTTACATGCTCTTTAATCAAAGCTTTAATTAAGTAATAATGTGCAACAATTATGTTTTACATTTTCAGATTAACATGTAATATTGCATCTTGATGGACTATACGATGTGGAAGATTACACTGTCACTAAGCATACTTGTCAATATAAGATGTAAATTATTTTAAAATGCGTACCATATGTGCCATAAAATAAGCAAGCAACATGAAGCAATATCTGTGTGTAGCTGAATATATAGTATAGATCACAATAAATGTCTCCATATTTGCTCTGATTTAGCAAGAACTAAATGTAATCTATTCCCATGCTCAGGGTATGGGAGCTATATAACTTCAATTTTTAGTGTTCTTTGAAATTATACTGTGATGCAATCAAGGATAAAGTAGGTCCTCACTAATGAATTCCATTTCTGAAATGCTGAAAAGAATGAATAAATGAAAATGTCTCACAATTAAATCAGCATCAGAATGATCTACAACGTGTGAACTAAAAATGAACCTCAAGTGGCTGTGCCCTCGCTGATAAAAAGTGAGGAAAAGTTGGTAGAGAGCAGCTCTCTTGCACAAAAAAAATCTTCTCCCAGGAGTTTTGATAACGGCAAACTTGATAAAAAAAAAGTACCACATAATAATTTCTCTTAGACGTTTAACAGTGACACTGCAGAAAATAGGTTAGCTTTGCACAAAATCCAGTCAATAAGATGTATGGTGTGATGCTTGGAATATATAAAAAAAGTTTGGTGAAGCAGGAGCCAAATGTCACTGCAACTTTGTCATTTTACCCCTGCAGGCTTATCAAAATGACCACGAACGCCTGAATGACTGACATACCTTTTCCTCCCGCTGTTACCTCACCTCAGTAAACCGCAGCACCGGTGGAAAGTTTTCAGATGGCTGTCTCACAGACATGACCAGTCTCAACTAGCTGAAGCCAGCTCTTAATGTTTTTGAGGACCACATGTCCAACAGCTGGTGGTGTATACTCAGGGCTAATGTAATAAAGTGCCTCTAAATGAGAAGGACTTAGTGCTGGGGGTAAAGTGCCTTAAAATGTAACCTTGGCTGTTTTTATGGTGTAGCTGTTAGGAGAAAAAAAAAAAACTTGTTTTGGAGTCAGACCTCTTTTGCCTGCTGACACATCGTTACTCATGGGTAGTTGTGGGCCAGTCAATGAATGGGGTCTACCAGCTTAAATAAAGCTGTCTCTCTACAGGCTTCATAAATGATGAAACATAAGGAAAAGTGAACCCCTGCACTCACTATTTTATATTTAACAGACCTTTTAATCTATGAGGGAATATCATTACATTTAAAAGGTCTTTCAAAGCAAATTTGCAGTATCATGACCAGCAGCTTCTCTTGTATGTGTGATCATAGCTAGTGAACCAGTCTTTGCAGTGAGTGTGTTATGTGCTGAATACTGACTTAATGTGTACTGCTACACTAGCAATACAATTTAATTCTTTTAAATTTAAGAATAAAACTTGCAATTTACCCTCCTCATGGTGGAAGGGATTCCTGGGCAGGGCAGTATTATACATTTTTAGCAGTGTCTCACTCTCATTCTGTCCTTTCAGTCAGTCTAATAGGGCATGGCAGGGGATGAGAGCTCTGCCACATCGGGAGAACTATATACAACCATGGAGAGTCAAGGAGATTTCGTCTGCTTTAATGGGGTGTTTCAGCTTGCTGACAGAAGCTCGTACCAACTAAGCCTGCGCTGGCTGGTTTATTGGGCTAACATAAACTGACAGAACACCTGGTTGCAGATGCTTGTGTAAAGATGGATTACATGCACTAACACCTGGTGCACACTGTGTGTTGTGTGCTTGTGCCGTGTGTGATGTGTGTTGTGTGTGTGTGTTTGTGTGTGAGTTGAAGGGGGAAAGAAAAACAGCGGACAGCTCTTGGAGATGCTTCTGTTTCATTTCAAAACACCACCTGAGCCCTAATCCCCCAGTGCAGGGTGCTAATTCACCATGGGATGCTCAAATACTCTGAGTGAGCTACAGGTCACAATCCATCAAGTAGGACTACTTTGAACTTTATCAGAGTACAAAATATTGGAACCATGTCATTCACCCTTTAGTACTGAGCTGGAAATCTTTTATACATGGCAAATGTTCAAGTCTCAATAACAAAGTTTTCATCCAGTCATCCCTCACTTTATTCAAATACAGACAAGCATAAAACAAAAAGGCATTTTTAAGATAGTCTATTTCTTTATTTACTATAACAACCACACCTAATACCTAAGTCCACTCAACGACTAAAGATTTGTACAATTTGAACAATTTACTCAAGAAAAAGAACTGAGCAAAGCAAAAACAAAAACTCTTTCAAACTTAATTAAATTAACACAGGAAATCATTCCTTCTTGGCAAGATAAATTTCTTTCTTTCCTGGAAACCTGAACATTAGTGTTGCCACAAATGACATTTGACTGTAAGGGGATGGGTGATTAAGGAAAAGGGTGGTGTGTGTGTGTGTTGATATGCATAATTTCTAAGGAAAGGCCAATCTGGATTTTGGGGGCTGAACCAGATTCCTGATATGCAACGAGCCATACTTGCAGATACCCTGGCAAGTAGAAATAAATGTATTGTATTGTCCTTGTACACTGACAAACTGTCACATACTTGACACATTTGTTCAAACACATTTCTATGGAATGTAGAAATCACTGTTTTGGGCAACGATTACCTTCGTCTTACAGTTAAGAGCCTCAATATTCTCTGAACTGCTTCTCTGCAATGCTTTGTTCAACTTGTGATGAAAGTACATTACTCCTAATGTTAATGCAAACACAAAAGCACACTGCAGTAAATGGCATTCTCTAGATTTCATTACATTTTTGGCTGCATTTTCATTCCAGTTGACTCTAGCAGAAAAAATATAAATCCATGCAAGTCAAATGAGACAAAAACATCTTAAAATCCAAGCGAATGAGGCACTGCTGGGAGACGATGGAGCAGGTGGAGTTTGCATTAAAATGAGTAATCATTGCCAGGGAGGGATGGGCAGCTCCAACAAGGCAGATAGAAGTGGAGAGCAGATCTGAGATCAGTAAGACTCACTCTCGATTCAAATAAAGCTCAGAACAGTGACACAGAAGGAAACTGTAGTAAAAGCTAAATAAGTTTTGTCATGGTCCAAAAGCTATATTAGCATCTGCTATAACCGAAGCTAGCTATCTTGAGACATGACACTAACAACATGCATCAATTAGCTACTTAGTTAGTGACAGCCGCAGCCAGAAATTGGTAAGGCTTTGCATCTCATTGGTTCTCCATCTATAATATTGAAAATGTCCAATTTGTCGTCTGAGGTGAATATATTTTACAAATTTCAATTGGAGGCTGATAAATGACTATATCTCTAATAATTGGTTAATGCTGTCATGTAGTTAGCTACTTTAACTCTGGTCCATGCTGTACTCGTGCAATTTGGCAACAGTCTCAAGTGATACACACACACACACACATCGAAAGTGAGTTTTTGCCATTTAGAACTGCTTGCTGTGCTTTTTGGTTTGCGTTGATAATGTAAAACCGCTGTCCACCTCATGATTTTGCTGATTGGTTCTTTTGGTCTGCAGAGATCATAGGTAGAAGGCTGGAGCTTGGGCTCGTCACTGTGAGGTGATTGGTTGGTTAGTTGGCCTGATTGATAGGTTGCTGTGATTGGCTGGTTGCTGTGGTGTGTGGTATTGGTCAGCACATCACTTGGGGTGAGAGTTCCCCCCACAGACTCAGATCTGAGATCGGCTTCTTCATTATTGTTTAATCCTAGAGTGATAGCCATTTTAGAAGACCCTCCATCCATTTCTACCTCCTTAAGACTATACAGCTGCCAAAAGTGCAGGACTAATAGTGCAGCACCAATGCAGCTGGGCTGTAATGAGTGGGACTTCTATAATGGCTGTAATGGCATTGGGTGTCTGTTGCTGATTAATTCCACGTATGTGTAACGCAACAGGCTAACAACTACTCTGATTATTTAGAGGAGATCTGTGCCTGGTGGGGAAACATCTTCATCCTATGTGTTCCATTGAGGAAGGCCGGCTGGTGGAGTTAGCGTAGCCGGTGTAGCCCTGCTGCGTGGCTCACTTGCGGGGCTGGTGGATGTGCTGGTTGATGTGCTGGACAGAGGGCAGCTTGGGGACACAAGGCTGGGGCTTCTGGTGGGCCACCTGGGCAGCTGCAGGGGTGAAGTCCTTATCACCCTGAACAGAACACAGTCAGTCAATAATACTCAAGGGCAGAGAATGGATCGCATTCACTATGTCGCACAAAAGGACACTCAAGCTCGCCGCCTAAGCCGCAGAATTAGTTCATACATTGTCTTCCTGCTAGACAAGATGGAATTTGGTGCCAAAACCACTTGCCACAGCGTAGCATGCAATCTGTAGATACAGTAGGCTAAAAGGGAAAGGAACAACAGTTCAATTCTGATGGAGTTCTTTATTTTTGATGGCCAGTATGAAAAAAGAAAAGATCAGGGCAAAGGATATAATATGACAGTAAACACAACGGGAATGTGTACGTTGTTTTGCAGTTTGTCTCTATAGCTGCATATATAAGTGCACTCTATGCTCCATTTTTAAATCCTTTCCCTCTGATAATCATAATAACAATGAGGAAATCCCCAAAGTGCACGAAGGGTAAAGTATGGAGTGCTCATCTGTCCCCGCTCATCTGCTCTGCAACCTCAATCTCTTATTCCAAGAAAAATGCCCATAAACAGCCTCGCTTCTAAATCGGATCAAAGCAGGAATTTGATCATTTACAGAGGAATGCAGAATTTTAATCAAACACTTGCTACAATCATGACTCGATTCCTTCCCTCTTTCTTTTATCTTTACCTGCCAGCACTTTTTTTTTCTTACTTCTCAATATCCCTTTCTCTGCTATCCTTCAATGCTTTGAGTAAGACACTTTCATTTACCTGTTTTTGTCATGCTACTCTCCTCTTCATCCCAATCCCACTTACGAGAAGAACATTAACTCAAGTGGATGGTTGAAATCTATAGCTATAGCATTGCACACTTGCAGATCTTTGGGTGTGAGAAGGTTTTACATTCAGCACAGTGGGGGTGGGTGGTGAGCTTGTTTAAAGCTGGGAAACCAGTTGCTTAAAAGACAGCATTTATGAAAAGCACACATTGAAAACACACGTTGCCTCACGCACGACTAAGTGGATTAATATTGAAGGTTTTAATTCACATTTAAAATACTGGATTTGAGTATTTAGTTAAGTTGGTGATTTGCTGATGCATGAATATAATAACCAAACACATGGTTCCCTCATATTCCAGATTTTTTCTTAGGATAAGGTAACCAATTTAATCGATGCTGTACAATAACACACACACACACACACACACACACACCCACACACTGCCTGTTTGTGTGAACCTCTTGCTGAACTTTACTCGCCCACCCCACCCTCGTTTGACCCTAATCCTTTCTGTATGTGTGAATTAGTTTTGTACTGTATGCACACTAGTTTCCCTGCGTGTGTGTGTGTCTGTATGTGTGTAGGTGGGCACAAAACACTTAGTGTGTGTGCGTGTGTGTGTGCGCACGCTTCTTTCATTTAAAGCCAATTCCACAGCTAACTGCATGGGATGTGGATGGATTTGACCTCCAATTGCCCTTCTTCTCTCTTCTAAAGCTCAAAGCTTCTCTCTCGTCTATCTCTGTCCTACTGAAGCAGAGTTATGGGAGGGAATGCAACAAATTAGCCGTATGACTGCACCACACTGTAAATAGGAGTCATGGTGATTGGCAAAGGCCCATCTACCTCCATTTACTATTTCAGGACAGCTGAAATATTCATTTGGAGAAGTAAATTGATATTTTCTACTTCTTTCCACCAAATCTAACTTTCCTTTAGAATACTTACAATACTATAATTACTACAATGCTACATGTTTCAATGAAAACATTTTAAAATGAAAATAATCCGGACATAGTTGCAAACTGAAACTTTAAATATATTTTTAAAAAATGCGAAAAGGATAGTTTAAGATCATTTTTTCTTTCCATGAATTTTGAGAATTTGCCTGTATTCAATCTTGTTTTCCTTCTAGAAATACCTGCTTTTATCTGCAGATATGCATATCTCGTTCTGTCTTGTTACAATGTAGTTTTCAACAATGTATTACTTTTTGGATTTAATGAATTTAATTATGTATAATATAAAATCATCAAAACTAAATTTTTCTTCTGACAGGTTCAGTGTGTAACATTTAGTATTGGCAGAAATTGAATAGAATTTATAGAGGTATGTTTTTAATAGTATATAATCAGCAGCATATAGAATCATCTACAGTAGCCCAGAATGGACAAACCAAACACTCTTCACTTCACTGCCACCGTAGTTTCTCCTTCACGCTTGTGTTTTAAACTTGGGAATTGACTTGTGACATCAGTGCAAAGGCTTGAGATTTACTTGCGAATTTCAAAAATAACGACTTGGTCCAACTTCTGACCTGAACTTACCGGTCAAGCTTTAGATGCCCACCCTTACTGCCTTTGGTTGATTCAGTTTCACAAGAAAAATTCTGCCATTCAAAGAGAAAGATTGGAAATACGCACATAGCCAGGAAATGTCCTGGTTTTCCCCATTTGAAAATATCTACTGACTCCACAGACAGACACACACACACACACTGAAGTGTTTCACTTAGCTCCTAAAAGGCTTTTCTGAGCATTTGTGCAGTGCTAGCCTCTGGGCTTGATGGCAGTGATAGGGGGCGAATGGGAAGGCTAGAGGAGGATCGGTGGGGGGGGTAAATGGGATGCCTGCCACCTTGCTGATATCACCGCAATCTTCTGCAAACAATCTACCTGGTCTGACAGGCAGGGAACGAAGCCATGCAGGAACTCAAGGACACTTTTTCACACACAGACACACATATATATATATATATATATGTATATTCTCTAACACTAAATCCAAGAATTAAACAAATGTGGCTATTCACAGACTTTGACCGGCTTTTCAAAGTGGCGGGTCAAAGTTGGCAAAGCATAAACAAACACACGCGCAGGGGTCGATAAGAGTTAAAGCAGCACCATTTAACGTAACATTTACACAATAAAATGGCCGACGGTGTTTAATTTTTGTTTGTTGAGTGTCACAGAGGTGTTGGTTTGACTCTATGGTGCCGTTCATGGTGCCACTGTATTGAGCGGCATTATGCTGTATTGCGAAGTAGTACCAGATTAAATATAAGAACAGGAATATGGGGTATACATAATGAATAAATATATAAAAGTCACTCAAATGCACTTTTAGAGTCTCAATATTTATCGCTTTTTTACTTAATCTCCCAGCAGGCATAAGAAATTATCAGGACAAACATATAAAAACATTGATTTATAGTTTAACATTTTACAATCAAACTCACAGCATTATCTTTAATTACAGATATTTGATTACTGATCCTGACCTCTTTTTATTTGATCTAATTTTCTCACCGTTTGGCACTCCACTAGACATTCTCTCCGTTTTCGTCTCCTCCCCCGCTCTGCCTTCTTTTTCTTGTTCTATCTCAGTACTAAGCCTCTACCTCTCCCTGTAGAGCTCATGTCCCAGATATAAACCACCTTATAATGTGTATTTTAACACTGCTGTGGGTCTGTACATGTGTGTGTGTCTTACCTTTGTAACCACTCCAGACACAATCATGGGGGCCTTTGGTGGACTAAAAAGGAGAACAAGAGAAAAAGAGAGAATAAAAAATTGAAACTGATTGGCAGAACAATGCACAATTTAGTAAGCAGGGTGTGTGTGTCCAGTGCTTTACTCAGTGGTGATTGTTTGTGTAATTTAATCACATTGTGTACAAGTCAAGGGTGTAGCTTACTGTGTATACATTATGGCAACATTGACTAAAGTTTACCCATCTGGCTACTTCAAAACCTCCAAAAGTGACACTGGGCCAAAATTTGAACATCCCAAGTTGTCGCAACACTGTAACACCCACAGTCTTACGCTCTCTGGTAACACACACACACACACTGTTCTTGTGTGTTTGTTGTGTGCTGTGTGCGTGAGATGTTGTGTGGCGAGTGTGAGTGTTGATCGTTATA